CTCCGTCTTCAGCATCACGTGGAATGTGTTCCTGCTGCTAATGGGCTTACACTGGATGTGGAAGCAGATTACCAGGCCTCCTATCAGATGCATGGAGCGCCAACAACCAAAATCAAAAGCAGCAGCGAACCAAAGAGTTCCATTCCTCGAACCCGAGGCTGAACCGCAGACGCGTGAACCTTTAGGACCCAACAGGGTCAATTCCGGAGAAACAACTGATCTGCGACCTATCTGGCATACTTCCCGAAGCGAAGTCTACCATCTCTCAGACAGCTGTTACCAGCTTAAGCAAGCAAGAGATGTTTGCAAGAAGGTGCTGTGCAAGAACTGCCTCCATGCAGTACAAGTTGCGGAGATTCGCAGGAATGATCCTTTCCAAAGAGGTGATACACGACCACGTGGCACCGAAAGAGATATTGAGCGCTTCCAGACCTATGATTATGCAAGTAACACTCCTCACATGACACAATTATTCCAGGATGCCTTGCATGCACAAATGGCCGAGGAAGCCATGCAGATTACCTATACATCGATCCCCAAGGGATCCTCGGCAAGGGCCAGAGGTACATCTGCACTCCCAAGTGCCGCATCGTCCATCACGCTCCCCGCCCGCAAGGCAAAAGCCACCAGGGCCAACAAGGCAACATATCACCCTCCACCTAAGATCCTCCTCCAAAGGCGAAAGGAAAGTACCTTCCTTCTCCTCCGAGACCAAAGGTCCTACCAGAAGAGGAGGTCAAAATCGCGGCGTATTCAACTAAAGGCAGCCAGAGAAGGCCCACAACAGGGGACTCTCCACCTATGCACCGCTGCACTTGACGAGCCATCAAGGCCAGGCAATTAACGTTACGTGCCGAAACATAGTATCAAGACACGTCAGCTCTATCGATTCAACGGTAGAAGCAGCCGGCCAGTTTACACAACGCGTGCTACAGCACGTAGAAACATATGATGAAGAGGAACCGTGGAGCACGGAGTTCCTACCAGTCGTGGAAGTCCTATTCAGGAACCTAAGCGGCGACGAAACAACTGTCATACATGACAATCAAACGGTAACTATGCCTCTTGCGAAATACACAGATCTCCTCAGAATCGCACAAGCATTGCGAGGCTCTATCCAGAGAGACAAGGAGGAAAGAAAGGAACATCTTGACACCATCCAAGATACTCTATCCAGAGTGGAAATCCTTCTAACAGCACTGAGGGACTCAAGGACAGTCTTTAACCAATTGGTCCATTCCTCACTAGAGATAGAGCGAAGAAATAACAATCTCAAAAATGTCCTCGAGACACTCTTTGACGATCAAAGCTCTGAGGAAGACCAATCAGAATCTGACAATGAAGAAGTCCTAACTCCTTCTGCACCACAGTACTGGAATAGCCTCTATGCCCACGCCTTATCTCCTTCAGGAGATGAAAGTGAAAGATCATGGGCGTCCTCAGACGGACAGCTTGAAAGAAGAAGGGCTGAACGGGCAAAGGCTAAGCAGCCACAACCGGCTAAAGCAAGGCAACTCCAGTCAGCTCACAAGCTGCGCCAAAGGCCGAGCCAAAGGCGACAACATCCAACCATGGATATGATACTGCAGATGCCGCCTTCACCAGGGCTGAGAACAGATTACTCGGAATCTTTTCAAGTTCCGAAGAAGATCACTCAGACCCGGATGAGCCACATCCGAACGTCTATGCTCGAGCCTATGATCCAACCCTGGATCCGAATCTGAGATAAGAAAATTCTCAGAGTTTCACAACAGTGAATCACAAGGCTCTAACAAGAGCACAATGAAGGGCTGCATAATTCGGTAGGAGAACATTACCAGACCTGATCTTGTACAGATGATCTCTCTGACCAATATGCATGAGTGTGTGTGCAAAATGAGTGGAGTGTCCTCAGCAGTGTACTTCAGTGCTATACCTAGCATAAATAATATGCTGTTTTTATAATGAGTCCAAAACTCCGCAACTGTGACAGTGGGCCTAACAGTATATGTGTGAATGTGCGGCCATGCTTCCGGTAAAAGAAAATTAGTGTCTGTTTGAAACCATAAACCTCTAAAGGGGTAGCTCTAACAGGTACCTACAGCAATGGCTGCATGCTCATACATATACATTCCGCTGCCCATTGGCTCACAGTGGTTTTACCATATTGAGACAAGACAAGCTCTCCTTGCGTAGCAAGACAAAACAACTAATGTCCGTGTGCAGGGCGCTGCCCTTTGATCCTTAGGGAATAACTGGTCATACACCTCCTTACAAGGAGTATCCCTTGGGGGTGTATCGGCACAGGGGGAGGGGGGGGGGAGGGGGGGGGGGGGGGGTGGAGGAAAAAAAGAGGGGGGAGGAGGCCTGGGAGGGGGCGGGTAGGCCCGCAAATCAAAGAAAATGAGGGGAGGCCGGGAGCGCAAAAACAGGGTGTCACCAAACATTTGGGCTGTAGGAGGAGGATTAGGTGCAAAACGCCTGGGCCTGTGGCCTCGGCGGATTATTATTTAAGGTATCTTCCTTGATTAAAGGGTATTGGGCTCTCTGGGTTAGGGTTTAGGGGGTTTTAGGGGTTTAGGGGTTTAGGGGTTTAGGGGTTTCGGGTTTAGGGTTCAGGGGTCTCAGTCCCTTACAGGGTTCCCTGCAGGGCTTCTGGAAGGGATCTATCAAGGATCTATGGGATTCAGGGCTTAGGTGTTTAGGGCCTACTTGAAGGAGCAGGGATGTAGTAACTTGAAGAGTTACTGAAAAGGGTTCCTTAAAGGGACATCCTGGAGCTCCAAGAAAAATTCCAAAGGAGTCGTCTTGTGATTGTGTTCCCGCAGCACGATCCTAAAACTTGAGGAGAGATCTTGGGTTGGTACAAGTGATACCGGAACCCCTCGAAGCCAGTCAGCAAAAAGCAGCACATCACTATACCCTAGTTTGCACACGACCCTCCCCCAAAGAAAGAAGTCATAAATATCATAGCAGGCTACGGACATCCAGCACGTGCTGCAAGAAGAACGCCGCTACAGATGTCGGCGCTACGATCACTTGATGCGACCTGCCTTTGCTATGCTCTGAACCCTAAACCCCACTTGGAGGATCATGGGACGTAGAAACTAGGGTTATAAATAAGGTAACTATACTTACAACTCCAATTAGGGTACTTATAACCTTACTTACTAAGTCCCATGATCCTCCAAGCAAGCCCTAAACCCTAAACCCATTTCAGCCTCCTGTCAGCGAAGGAGGGCATCACAGGATCTCTTGGCGGAGCTTTCGCCTCGGAATACCAAAGCAGCTGCCGCGGCATTGACCTCCGATGAGGCAAATCTTACCTTGGGTTAGTAGGGGATGGAGGAATGGGGTAGAATTATAACTACTATTACTACCATTCTTCCATTCCTTACTAACCAAAGGTAAGAAATGGAACTCTGAATGAGGCTTGTGGGTATATTTTGGCCCTTACATGTTTAAGGAACCCTTATAGATCCCTTGAAAGGAACCCTATTCTCATTATGGGGGAACCTGCATTGCAAAGCAGTGTGCCTGCAGGTCTTCGCATCACCGCGCAGCATGGCCAGCTGCTCAAGCTCCCAGACTGTGCTCCCGACAGAGATGAAAAAGACATCTGCCCGTCCCTTCACCCTAAAGATATCCTACCTTTTCAAGGACTTATATAAGGAACCTTACAGAAGAAGGTTTATACGGTCCAAGTCACGCTTAAAGGATTACGGGACTTAGGAACTAGGATTATGCTTAGGCTAATGCTCCCGACAGGGATGAAGGGAAGATCTGATTTTCGGGTTCAGGGTTCAGGGTTAAAGGGCTATGGGACTTAGGAACCAGGGTTATTCTTGAGGGTTAAAGGATGATGGGACTTAGGAACTAGGTAACGAGGGTTATTATTAGGGGTCATTAAGTATACTTAGAGTTGCTTACGAAGTTCCGTGGCCCTCCAAACAGGAATCGTGCCATGCCGGGCCAGGTGGTTTGTTCTGAGAGCCTTACACAACCACTTGAGACGAACGACCTCAAGCAGAACACCTACAACCCTGTAAACCCAAACCCCCAAAACCCTAAACCCTGTAAGTCTTTAAGCCTTGACAATCCGACCTGAAAACAAAAGCCTCTGCGTGGAATCGGCTTGCAGGAAGGTGAGCAATGGACCCATGCTGCCATGTTACTGGGTTCTTGTTAGGGGATGTAATAGTATAAGTTACCATAATAAAGTAAACATGCTATTTACTATAGATCCCTATTCTAGTAACTTAAATGAATATGCTTCACCCTAAGCCATTATATAGAACCCTTATAGATCCCTTAAAGGAACCCTTGTAGAACTTGTAGATCCCATTATGGTACCTTAAACTAAACTCCTGTACAAGAGCCCAGGTTAGGAGATGTCGGAGGCACACGCCGATACCCCCTTGTAGTGTGCTATGGTGGATGGACAAAATCCTGCATGACCCAATATATGGAATATACCATAATTCCCATAGCTTAGGGCCCTTAAGGTCATGCAGGGTTTTGTTCATCAACAGTATGTTGCAGTATAGTATAGTACAGTTCGTATAATATAGTATCGTATAGTACCGTATGATCGTATAGTGTAGTTTAGTATAGTATAGTCGATTAGAGGAGAGCTAGGCTGGCAAAGTATAGTCTGGAATATTATAGTATTATGATTTAATTTATGGTCTGTTCCAGTGTATTGTAGTATATTGCCGTATATCCTCATATCCCCGCGTCTGCTGCGCAGAGCAGCACGGCCTGGACTCCCGTGTGAACCGGAGCTCCAAAGCGAGAGACACCCCAACTCTTGAATTAAGGACTGGGCCTTAAATCATGTTAGGGATCCCCATATCACAGTAGGTATATATACCGCAAGCCATATTAAGGATCCTATTGGAAGTGAAGGTCTTCCTTAATTACGAAGCAACCCTGAACTCTCTAGTCAAAGGGTTGGGGAGTCTCTGAGAAGCTCCGGGCGTATTTTGATGGCCTGAGCCGTGGTCCGTGCAGTGGCAAGCATGGCTCATGTGGAGCCGGCCTGTTGCACAAATAAACCGTTTTATGCTATAGCAGCTATTATGCCATCATCGGTTCTACTTGGTAAAATTTGGTAGCAACTATCATATACTCGACTATGCGATAGTATGCTTTCGTATGCTATAAAATCCCATAAGAAGCTCCCTTTCTTGAAGCCTTGCTTGGAAAGCTGTGGCCAGGTGCCCTCGCCGTCATCCGTGAGGTCTGTGGGCTGGGAGGAGGAGAAGGGTCGGCAAGAGGCTCAGGGACGAATCCAACCCACCATCGTATATCACAGTATATGGGAGTTTCCGAAAATAGGGGGTACCTTTTTTGGGGGTCGTTGTAATAAGGATCCTACTATTTAGGGTACTATATTAGGGCCCCCTATTTTCGGAAACTCCCGTATATCATAGTCTCTCATACTGTGTTATAGTACATGATGGTGTGCCATAGTATTTTATAGTATATCATGGCATACTACGGTACATTATGGTATATTGCGGTATTTTCTAGTGATTTCTAGTGTATTAGGGCATATGAAAGCAAATGATGGTGTATTACTTGGAGGATCATGGGACTTAGTAACTAGGGCTATAAATACGGTAACTATACTTATAACTCCAATCAGGGTACTTGTAACCTTACTTACTCAGTCCCATGATCCTCCAAGTAGTACCCTAAACCCTAAACCCCATAAGAACACTATAGCTCCCTTTAAGGAGCCCTTTAAGGAACCCTAAGTCCCATGATCCTCCAAGTATAGTAATAGCGTTGAGCGCTTCTCCGGGATTGCGCGAGAAGGAGGAGGAGTGTCTGCTCCCAGAGACTCCAAAACCTCTTAATTAAGGAATATACCTTAAATTACAATAAGATCCCTAATATGGTTTAAGGTACATTCCTTAATTAAGGGGTTTTGGAGTCTCTGGGCTGAGGCGTGATGAAATGGAGGACGGCTGGGTCTTCGTGGATCATTTCGGTTCGGGCCTCGGGTCTTTCAAGGAAAGAGCAAAAGCCTTGAGGGTTTTGGAGGGTAGAGTGTTCACAAGAAGCTTTGGTGTTTTTGGGAATTCTTTGTAATTGCGGCTTTTTTGACAGAACTCCAAGGCATCGTGGAACATCTATGAATTTCTATTCTATTCTGTCTTTAAGGGTGCTTAAGAAACAGGGCAGCGTGTTAACACTTTGCTTTGGTTAGTAGGGAGTGGAAGAATGGTAGTAATAGTAGTTATATTGTACCCCATTCCTCCATTCCCTACTAACCAATTTTACGAACCTCCTGTGCCCAGATGAAAGCCCCAGCAGCTGCTTCTGGGGCGTCTACGACGGCCGGGTTCTGAGCCGTTAAAAGAGGGGAAGAGCATGGGACTTAGTAAGTACAGGTTATAGCTACCTCAAGTGGGCTTAGGGTTTAGGGTTTCAGGGTTTAGGGTTTAGGGTTAACGAAACATATTTTCCATTCGCTTCGAAAGTACAACCCGCCCTCCCCCCCCACACACCACCCTAAACCCCGTTTTGAACGAGGTCCTACACCCTAGATCCTATCTGGAGGATCATGGGAATTAGTAAGTACAGGCTATAGGTACCTCAACTGGGGTCATAACGAAGCATAAGTGTAGCTACCTCATTTTTAAGCCTAGCTACTAAGTCCCATGATCCTCCAAGCAGACCCAGAGCCCTAAACCCCTATAGATCCCCTGTAGAACCCTTTAAAAGGGAGCCCCTTAAGGAACCCTTTAAGGGACCTACAGAGGATGGCTGAGCCTTAAACCCACTGCTGTGCAAGGCCACGGCGGGCGCAGTTGCATGGAGTATGTCATGGAAAACTTGCATGTGTGGATCCGGCTTGTTTTTAGGGTTTAGGGTTTAGGGTTTAGCCAAAAACTACACCGGGGCTGTACGACCAATGTAGGGGTCTACATAATTACCAATGCTATTCTAGACTGTAGGGTTCCTTATTGCAATGAAATAGACTGTAAGATACCACCCCAAACCCAGTCTTTTTGCATAAGCCTTGTCGAGCCCGTTAAAGGCAGTTAGTAAGTTTAACATGTTAGAGCCTGCCTCCATGCCCTTCGGTGAAGGCTTAGAACTGGATTCTGGTCTGATCTGCATCGCAGGAATCTACTGGCGGAGCTCGAGCAGGCAGCGTCTAATATAGTGGCCTTATCAATTAGAATAGGGCTTTGGGCCCCTTATACGATACATACAATAAGGAGCCACCAAAATAGTATAGGTAATTTTCAGGCCCCTATATAGTACCATCACACCCTACAGACCCGAAGCCCATAACCCTTAAACAAAGCCTAAACCCCCTAGCACAACTGTAGGACGAGATCCTCATGAGGAGGATGGCTGGTGATGTGGTGGCTCGTTTGAGAAAGTGCTCTTACGACCAACACCCTGAACCCTAAACCGAAACCCCCACCCCTACCCGCTAAACCCTAAACCCCACACCCTTTGAAAGCAAGTTGGAAAAGAGGCGATTCAAGCAAAAAGAGAAAACCCTTTGAACACTCCTTAGGGGGAAGTCACTTTTCACTGTCTCTGTGGTTCCAAGAAGGAATTCAACAACAGCCCCAAGCCTCTCGCTGTGCTTCGCAGCGGCACATCAATACTGTTGATGATGTAAATCCTGCATTACCTTCAGAACCCTAAACTATGGGAATTATGGTATATTCCTTGTTATGGGTAATACAGGTTTTATATCATCAACCGTAGACCTCCCCTCTATCATAGTATGTTGTTTGTTTTAGATTATGATGGAATAACTGAGTATATCATAGTATTCTATATCATACTATGTTTTAGTTATTTTAGAATATTAGGGAATAACAGACTAGAAAACATGATAATATGCTGGAGTATTATGGAATAGTAGGGTATAGTAGAGTAGATTATAGCATGCTATAGGATGTTATGTAAGTTATGTTAGTACATGATGGTATCTTACGGTACTTGGAGGGTCGGGGGACTTAGTAAGTAGGTAGTAAGTAGACTTATAAGTACCCTAAAAGGGACCCTAATTGGGGTTATGGTACTTATAAGTCCCGAAAATAACCAGCTACTAAGTCCCCCGACCCTCCAAGTATGCAGCAGGACGTGGCCAACGTGCCCGATTGCATGATGCGGGCCTTCGAGGTCACGGACTCCGACATGCAGACCGCAGGCCAACGTGAAAGCCTGCCTGTATTAGGGATCCGGGGTTCCTTTGAAGGGATCTATAGAGGTTCCTTTAAAGGGATCCAAAAGGGTATCATAGGAGGCCAAAAGGGGTTTTAGCCTATGGGGGTTTAGTAGGGATTAGGGTTCCCATAATAGGGTTCATATTAAGAAACCCCTACCCCAAGAATCTTAAACCCCCTTTTGGCCTCCCATCATTAAAGGATTACTATCAGCATTACTATCAGGACCACTAGAAGGTTAACAGGGATTACTGTGAGGTTAGTTATCCTGACTATAAGGGTTTTAGGGTTTGGTTACTTGGGGGTGATCAGGGAGAAGTCGTGGAGATCGTCGTTTTCCGCATGAGGCCTGACTAGCTCCTTAATGAGGATTGCAATGAGGTTAGTGTAAGGATTGCTACAGTTGATGATATAAACCCTGCATGACCCATAATAAGGAATCTACGATAATTCCCATAGTTTAGGGTCCTTAAGGTGGTGCAGATTTATATCGTCAACAGTATAAGGGTTTTAGGGGTGTTTTGGTCGTCGTTTTCCGCGTGAGGCCTGACGAGCTCCGGCTGCACAGCTTGCTGCTGCCTTCTGCGACAGGACCTGGGCTCATAGGGTTTAGGGGCTCCTTTTAAAGGGTTCTATAAAGGATCTATATAAGTTTAGGGTTTAGGGTCTACTTAGAGGATCTTGGGACTTAGTACTTAGGGTTATAAAATAAGGTGACTATACTTATAACTCCAGTTAGGGTACTTATAACCTACTTACTAAGTCCCATGATCCTCCAAGTATGCCTTAACCCCTATACATCCCTTATAGATCCCTTTAAGGAACCCCTTAAGAGACCCAAGGGTACTTTTTCACCTTACTTACTAAGTCCTTCTGCGACAGGACCTGGGCTCTGGACCAAGGGTCGTAGATTTGTAGCTCGTGATCCTTACTTAGGTCGACAGTCCCAGAGCCTCCAAAACCCCCGTAATTGAGAGTAGTGTACCTTATAAATCATATAAGGGATCCCCGATATAATTTAAGGTATATTCCTTAATTATATAAGGGGGTTTTGGAGGCTCTGGGAACGGTAGCTGGTTCGTAGATTTGCAGCTCGTGATCCTTATTTAGGGTTTAGAGTTTAGGGTCTGTTGCCTGTCAACTCAGGTTCCGTTTCTTGTGTGCAGCAGCCCCGGTCGCTTTGACGCTGCAGGAGAAGGGTTTTGCGGACCGGGTGCTCTACACGGCCCACATAGGTGCGGCTGAGAATCCTTCGCAGCATTGCGGAGCTTTTGCTTTTGCAGGTGATGCCCGCGCTGTGCTTTGTGGGGTGCTCAGTGCTTTTGCTGTCGGATCTCGAAAGGTGGTGGGGTGGGGGGGGGTCTAGGGTCTAGAAGAGGTTGAGGCTTCTGTGGGCAGTGTAATATATCCCCATAAACCCTGGACCCCTGAACCCTTAAATCTAAACCCTAAACCCCTAAACCCTTAATCTTGAACCTTAAACCCTAAACCGCTCTGGACCCGAAGCCCCAAGCCCCAAACCCTACAATCTGAATCCAAACCCGAAAGCCTATACCCCTAAACCCTCAAACCCCAAAACCCCTAAACCCCCAAACCCCTAAACTCCTAAGCCCTATGGCAGTCCCTCATAGTAACCCTTTGTAGTGAACCCTATACCCCTAAACTCCTAAGCCCTATGATTGTCCTTTATAGTAACCCTTTATAGTGAATCCCGAACCCCCTAAACTCGTAAACCCCCAAACCCAAAACCCCAAAACCCTGAACCCTAACCCCAAACCCTAAACCCCAAAACCCTGAACCCTAACCCCAAACCCAAAACCCCAAAACCCTGAACCCTAACCCCAAACCCTAAACCCCAAACTCTAAAGCCCCAAACCCCAAAACCTAAACCCTAAACCCTAAACCCTAAACCCCAAACTCTAAAGCCCCAAAACCCCCAACCCTAAACCCTAAACCCTAAACCCTAACCCCCCGAACCCCAAAACCCTGAACCCTCGGAGGCCGGAAAGGCTTGGCCGTGCGCCTTACCGGAAGCAGCGACCACAAGGCCGCCCTCCTACGGGGTTCAGGGCTTAGGGCGTTTAGGGTTGAGGGTTGAGGGTTCAGGGCTTAGGGCGTTTAGGGTTTAGGGTTGAGGGTTCAGGGTTTAGGGCGTTTGGGGTTTAGGGCTTAGGGTTTAGGGCTTAGGGGTTTAGGGTTCAAGGAGTTCCAAGGGCTCCTTAGAGGGATCTACAGGGGTCCTATAAGGGGATTAAGGAGAGACTCCAAAACCCCTAAATTGTAGGGCTCCTTAAAGGGATCGAGAAGGATTCTTCAAGGGAAGTATAATGGGATCCCTAGTATGATGTAAGGCAATGTAAGGTATATTCCTTAATCGAGAGATATTGGAGTTTCTAAGTTCACTCACGGCTGCGAGTGTTCGGACTATTCCTTTTCAGGTTCTGTATACTACCAACAATAATAACAACAATACCGCTGACAATGATCACAATCATAATCATACTAAGTAAGTGTCTTAATGACGACAAAAACAAGAATACTCACAGTACTTTACATTAATACCAGTAATAAGAAGAACAAAATGGTAACAATGATATGCCATAAACATGCCATGTTTTGCCATAGTATGCCGCCGTAGCATACCCCAGAGCCCGTCTCGACGAAGCATTTGCAAGCCGAAGGCGACGTATTCCGAGGAGGCCCGACGTGTGGTCGAGGCAGGGGCTCGCTTGGAGGGTCGGGGGACTTAGTAAGTGATTATTTTAAGGAGTTATAAGTACCATAACCCCAATTAGGGTCCCTTTTAGGGTACTTATAAGTCTACTTGCTACCTACTTACTAAGTCCCCCGACCCTCCAAGCACTCTCCGGAGCTGTTGGAGACCTCAAGTCTTAGTCGCAGAGACTGCAAAGGGGTTTAGGGTTTAGGAAAGCCCCTAAGTAAGGAATAGACTGCAAATTATAGGAGGGCTGCTATGGAAATTGAAGGTATAGCCCCTTCGCTATGGGGTTTTGGAGTCTCTGGGGTCTTGGTCTTTTCCGGACAGGGACAAAAATTCATTGGGCCAGAAGAGTAGTGTTGGGGCCTCAACACAAAAACCTGTGCTAATTTGGGGGCTCCATATTATAAATAGAGTATTATGGTCCCCAAAACCATATTCAAAGCATTAAGGCCCTCATTTTAGTATCGGGGTTAAGTTTTGCCGTGGCAGCGTTTTAGGCTGGCGGAACCATCTACAACGAGCGCGTGAATGGAATGCTGGCGATTTCAAGGCTCGGGGACGACTTGCAGCCTTGCAGCCAATGGTGCCAGGTCAGAGTCATCAGTGGCCTCAAACGGTAGAAGGATCCCCCCAAAACAGAAAACACATGTGTACATACATACTTAACCAATCACACACACATACATATCTATCTATCTATATATATATATATATGTGTATACATATATATATATATATATATATATTTCTTTATACTTTTTATGTATCAGAAGCCTCAGATCCCTTCAGGGGAGGCTTTCTAGGAACTCGCTGCCCAGGGCATTCGGCGACTTCCAGCTGAAGGTGTCGGAGCCGAGCATCTGCCAGGGGTCATCCTCAAAGTTCAAGTTTTAGGTTTAGGATTTAGGGTTAGGGTTTAGGGCTTAGGGTTGAGGGTTTAGTGTTGAGGGTTTAGGGTTTAGGGCTGAGGATTTAGGATTCAGGGTTTAGGATTTAGAGTTAGGGTTCTTTGTGCGTCTGTTTTTGGGCTGCATGCTCCTGTTTAGCTTTCGGCTCTGGACCGATTCGCAGCGAAGTGAAGTGAAGTTAGGGTTCTTGTTGAGGCATTCAGTTTAAGTTACCATGGCGAGTCAACCTCAGTGGTTGCCGTAGAATACAGAAGCCCTATCAGTTACTATAGAGTATGGAAACCCTATCAGTCGCTATAGATGCATAATATGGTAGCTTAAGTAATGTTCCTCAACTCGGGCCCCCCAAAAAGCATATAAGGAAAACATAGGACAGGCATATCCCATAAGAACTCCTTATGATGCCCCTAAACCCTAGTTTAAATGAAGTTCCTCAAGAAGAGCACCTTTCTCGTCGCCAGGCTCCTGCTTTCCCCAATGACATCGTCTCCAATGCCGGGAGCTCTATTTGAGGGTTTAGGGTTTGGAGTTTCGGGTGTAGAGTTTAGGATTCAGGGTTTGAGGTTTGGGGTTTAGGGCTTAGGTTTATCTCTTGAGAGCTTTGATGGCCTTGTCTGCAAACTTGCAGAACTGCTAGTATGTATGCCGTCTGGCGTTTGCAAGCGACGTGGCAGCATGCATCAAGCATCACCCTGTAGCAGCCATGCTGCAATGCATTTCGTGCCCTTCTCTTCTGGTCTTGAGCATTGAAGAACATGATGTCAGTGTTGATGATTATTCAGGCCCTAAATCAGACCTTCAAAGCCTTCTAAGACCCTTGCCAAACCCTTTTACAACCCTTATACCTTACAAAACCTTTCTCAAAACCCTTACAGAACCCATGGGCCCCTTACGGTAATCCTGACAGTAGCCCTTATATTACAGCAACCCTTGTTGATAGTATCCCTTATAGCAGCCCTGAGTATAGGAGCCATTCAAGGAACCCTTAAATGACCCCTTATGGAGACCTAGAGCCCCCTAAGCCCCTTACAGTAGAAGCCCAAAAGTTGGAAACCCCAATAGCCCTCCATCCTTAAGCGTAATGTATAGGGAATCCCAGCACCATTTGGCTTTAATCCGGTTTCCAACTTTAGGGGGTTTACTGTAATTGAGGAATATACTTTAAATCACATTAGGGATCCTGTTCTAATTCAAGTATTCCCAGTGCGACAGCGCTCTATTTCCTGAATTCCCTTAAAGAGCCCTTATCAATCCCCTTAAGGATCCCTTAATGAGTACATTCCTTAATTAAGGGCTTTGGGAGTGTCTGGGTAGAGACCCTTTCCTTCGACTCCTTTCCGCGGCCCCCCTAAACCCTAAACCTTGGGTACGGCCCCCACTCAGTTATCCATAGTATAGATATACTAGGACCTTAATAGTAGCCATTTTAAAGAATCTTACTGACTCAGTAATAGTTGACTAATATCCATAGTATAGATATATTAGGACCTTAATAGTAGCCATCTTAAAGAATCTTACTGTAACCTTATCCATAGTATAGATATATTAGGACCTTAATAGTAGGTATGGGGGCAGTACCTAACCTAAACCCTAAATCCCCAGGTCCCGGAAGTCTCCTCCACGCTGATTTCGGATGGAGTCGGGGGAGCCCAGGGTTCCGGAGATGGGGGTTTAGGGTTTAGAGAAAACAAATGCCCAGAGAGCCCATTAGGGTTTAGGGGGTTTTAGGGGTTTCGGGTATGGGCTTTAGGGTTTAGGGTTTTGGGGATTTAGAGTTTAGGGTTTTCCCAGGGAGCCCAATACCCCTTAACTAAGGAATATAGCTTAAATCATAATATGAATCCCCTTATAATTTAAGGTATATTCCTTAATTAAGGGGTATTGGGCTCTCTGGGTGTACACCCACTGTTTCCGCCTGTGCATCCCAGAGGCTTCCTGGAATGAGTTGTTTGCCGTGTTTTGTCAGAGTTGATCTCTGCCTTGCGATGCCCTGCCCGCTTGGTGGCAATAACCGCACGTTCACTGTACGACTTCTACTTTCACCATTTGCTTGAGGGTTTAGGGTTTAGAGTCAAGAGGGTATACAGGCTTTTTTAGGGCTTATGTGGTTAATGGGGTTTTGCGGGGTTTGGTTTGGGGGGTGTAGGGGGTCTATATAGGAGATCTGGGGGATTTAGGGGGTTTAGGGTTACAGGGTTGAGGGTTTCTGTGGGGTCCCTCCGTGCGGAGATGTGTGAGGTTCACGCATTGGTGGGGTTTATGGGTCTCCTAAACGAATTCTATAGTATGTCTTTACATGCATATGTATAAACATATATATATATATGTTTATACATATATATATATATATGTGTACATATATATGTGTATGTTTACATATTTATATGTGAGAGACTTCCGTAGGGGTGTCTTTAAGGGTTTTCGGGATTTAGGCTTTCTCAACTTCTCGATATCTCGGGACTCACGTTGCGCTTGTCCTGGATTGCACTGCATTCGTCATCCCACCCACTAGACCTAAGTTCCCAACAGGGGTCCAGCTAGACTTAGCGTTCTATATCTTATACTCAGGCTTTAGGTGAAGACCAACGAGGTGTATGAGTTGTTTTGCACGCGTGTTTTTGAAGCGTGTTATGGCCTTTTCAGGACATCTTCGTCATCACAGCCTGCGACGGGCTCTGGGCTCAGCTTCGCGGAATGCAGATGCAGCTATCATGCCTCGGGTGAATGGCAGCCCCTACAGGAAGCTTGTAGTAACCTTTGTAGTATCCTTACAAGCAGCCCTTGCAGGAACCTCATAGGCAACCCCTCTAGCAACCCTTAGAGGAAGTTTGTATCACCCTAAGAGGAGCCTTGCAGCAACCTGTGGCCCTTTTACACAATAACCGTATAGCACCCGTATTGCAACCCGAAGAGCCTCTTCTTACTAGGCTTTGGGACGTCATCGACGACCAGGATGCTGCAAACCTGGTCATCGAGGGCATGCGAAACACCGGCCTGTGTCGTTGCCATTCTTCGGGTTCAGGAGGAGAAGAAGTCACATGGTCTCATAATACAGGCTTCTTGAGGAAGTTGGGTTTCTAGAGATTGCAAGTGCCGACGATCCGACACGCCGGCCAGAACAATTCACGACCTTGATGATCGGAGAGCCTGGTCTCCGGCTGAGCTTTTCTTTAGTGCTTTTTCAGTTTCTTCCAATCCAGTGTTGAGGTAAACCAATGTCGTCACAATGCATGAAACCCAAACAAATGGCGGTTTCCGAAGCTAGGGGACCCTAATGTAGTACCCTAAATAGTAGGATCCTTATTGTAAGGACCCTAAAATAAGGTACCCCTAATTTTCGGAAACTCCCAAATCTTCCGAAGCCGCTGTCCGGACTGCGGGCCCCGGAAGACGAGCGAGGCCACGAGAAGAGCCTGGGGCAAATGGCGGTGTAGAGCTCAGCATCTGCAGCCCGAAGCCAGCGCTACTTGGAGGATCATGGGACTTAGTAACTAGGGTCATGAATAAGGAAACTATACTTCTAACTCCAGTTAGGGTACTTATAACCGCCTGATCCTCCAAGTAGGGTCACGAGCTTGCGTCCTGAGGCCCGCATTCTTATCGAAGAGGCTTTGGCCAGGGCCCGAGACAGCAGAAGGCAGGGTGGTAAGGGTCCGAGGCTTGAGCCTTCGATGCGGCATCTCTACACCCTACCAGACCTTAAACCCTAAACTCGGGGGTCGTTTTGGTAGAATGAAAACCCTAAACTCTAATATCAACCTTAAGCCCTACTTCACTTTAAACTATCAACCCCAAGCCTGATTTCTACTATCAACCCTAAAGCTGAGTTTAAGTCAATACCAAAACCCTAAACCCCCAACCCTAAGCCCGAAAGCCTAAGCCCTGAACCCTAATGTAGTGTAAGTATCTGATTCTTATCCCAGTCTTATTCTACCCTTACATAGAACCATAGCAGACTCCTAGAATAAGCCTAGACCCCCTTTTCCTAGACCACCCCCCCACCCCCATGATATCAACCTAAACCCTAATGTAATGTAAGTATCCTAAACTCTAAACCCTAAGCCTTAAACCCTAAACCCTGAGCCCCGTGAATATCAACCCTAAACCCACGGCTGAGGCCCGCGGGACCTCCGACAATGTGACCTGCCTCGTGGTCTCGGCCTCAGCCTGGAGTCCTACTTGAGGGTTCCTTAAGGGGCTCCTTAAAGGGATCTATAAGGGATCTTTAGAGGGGCTCCTTAAAGGGATCTATAAGGGATCTTTAGAGGGGCTCCTTACAGGGATCTATAAGGGATCTTTAGGGGTTTAGGGTTTCCTACGCTTGTTTTATCAAAGGGGAAAAGGAGGGACCCTTTAAAGGGATCTATAGGGATTCTATAAGGGTATAGGGTTTAGGGTTTAGGGGTTTGGGGGTTTGGGGGTTTAGGGAGTTTAGGGGAAAAGGAGGGACCCTTAATAAGGACCCCTACCCTATAATGGGCTATATCATGGGTATATAATAGCTGTAAGGACCCCTACCCTATAGGGTTTAGGGTTTAGGGTACTACTTGAAAGATCATGGGGCTTAGTAAGTAAGGTTATAAGTACCCAAAAATTGGAGTTATAAGTACAGTTACCTTATTTATAACCTTAGTTACTAAGTCCCATGATCCTCTAATTGCGCTTGTTTTAGGAGACTCCAATTAGGGATCCAAAACGCACATAAGCATAAGCATTTTACAGGGATATCCCGACCTTATTGGGCTTCATTATAAGGGGGTTTATATGGGATATCCCTATCCTAATTTTTGCTTATGTGCTTTTTGGGGGCCCTATCCAAGATCTCATAATTAAGGAAGATATACCCTTTGATTAAGGAAGATACCCATTTAATTCAGGAAGATAGGGTTACTCTACGGGTTCCTATAAGGTTTAGGGTTAAGGGTTAGGGACTCCCCAGAGCCCCCTAATTCAGGAACATGTATCTTTAAGGGTTCCTTAAAGGGATCTATAAAGGGTGCTGTAGGGTTCTATAATGGAGCTCCCCTTGGAGGTTTTAGGGTATAGAGTCTACTGGGAGGATCATGGGACTTAGGAAGTAAGGTCATGAAGATGGTAGCTATAGCTATAGTTACTTACAACTTCAACTCAGGTACTTAGTAAATAAGGTATACAAGTACCTGAATTGGAGTTGCAAGTCATTAAGTATAGTTACCATACCTACAATCCTAGCTACTAAGTCCCATGAACCAGCACTCCATGCGTCCTGCAGGTCTTTCCCTAGACACGCCGGCGTGAAGGCTCGGCCGTGTTAGGGGCGCCTCGTGCTTCCTGTCTTTCAAAGGGGAAAAGGAGGGACCCTTAATATGGACCCCTGCCCAAAAATGGGCTATATAATGGGTATATAATAGCTATGTTAAGGGTATATACCTAGGGGTCCTGATTAAGGGTCCCTCCTTTTACCCTTGGAGTCTTGCATGGAGCGCTGGCCAGGCTGCTCCTGCGGCCGACTCCCGCTTGGTCTTAATTAGTTGCGAAGATTTCCCCGGGGCTCCGGTTACTTTGCTACATATCATATGGCTAAACCCTAAAACCCTAAAACCCTAAACCCTAAACCCTAAACCCTAAACCCTAAATCCTAAACCCTAAACCCTAAATCCTAAACCCTAAACCGTAAATCCTAAACCCTAAATCCTAAACACAGTAGCCTGCAATTCAGGTAGCTGGAGCCCTAGGGTTTCGGATGTCGCAGAGACTCCGAAACGCCCAGCAGCAAACCGCAAGAGTGCCAGCGTGGCACCGGGCCGGCTTGCTGCCGGCTTCACAACAAGTCTTCTAGGACCTAGAGTAGGCCCTTATTCCCTTTTTTAGGGTTCGGGTTCCCTTATAAGCCCCTTTAGACCAAAAAGGGCATCCTTTTTATGCCTGGGTTACTCGTGGGTCTAGTCTTGCAGGCACCAAAAAGCCAGATGGTTCCAACGTGCGAGGAGCAAATCTGGCTTGTCTGGCCCTGCTGATGATGTGGCGATCCGGAACAATCGACCACGCTGCCTTCAGTGATGGCAGGAAAGTTGCACACCAGGACCGGTGTGCCGTCCCATACGTCGGCATGACGGTGCTTGTTCATCGCCCGTAGCTGTTTCTGCTAGTGGTCTGTCGGCTTCAGAGGGGAGGATCCTCGAAAGTTTGCCAGCCTGCAGCCCAACAGCAATGTAGGGTTTTAGGGTTTAGGGATATGCAGCCTCGTTGAAGTCCATGTCGAAGCAGTGCAGCGCACCAGGGACCGCGACCTCAACGGACCACAGACGCCTTGAGCCCCTAGCAGCCGACTCGGGGCTTTTCATAACAACCCAGAGACTCCAAAACGCCTTAATTAAGGAATATCTTTTACAATATACCAGGATCCCTAATATGATTTAAGGTATATTCCTTGATTAAGCTTTTCATAACAAGGGTAGAGGCATGCCATGAGCCGCGCCCTTCGAGACAGGCGGGGCTGCATGGGTACAGAGTTTCCCTAAACCCTAAGCCCTGAACCCCGAAACCCTGAACCCTGAAACCCTGAACCTCGAAACCCCGAACCTTAAACATTGAACCGCAAACCCTAAAGCCCAAACCCTAAAACCCCAAATTCTAAACTTTAAGCCCTACGCCCTAAACCCTCCCAGTGAGCCTTCTGTGGCCTTTCGGTGAAGACCGTGCGGATTTCCTTTGGAAAAAGGAGCACCCTTCCAACTCACAACGAAAAGCACCAAACTCTAAACCCCTAAACCCCTAAACCCCTAAACCCCAAACCAAAACCCCTAAACCCTAACCCTAACCCACCCCCCCTCCCCTGAAGGCATGCATCGCTCGCCCATGGAGCTTCGGGACCTCGTGCAGGTGGGACTGGGACTCTGCAGAGGTAGCTGCTACCTGGACCCTTTAGGGTTCAGGGTTCTGAGGGTTTGGGGTTCAGGGTTTAGGACTTAGGGTTCAGGATTTAGGGTTGAGGGTTTTCAGGCTTTAGGGTTTAGGGTTCAGGGTTCAGGATTTAGGGTTCAGGGTTTAGGGTATAGGGCCGTTCCCTATTGTGCTTTCCTGGTCTAAGTCCTTAGAAAGGTAGGTTCCTTGGGGTCAAGTTATTCATTGTTTCCTATTAAGGCCGCTACACCATAGCCCTTATAGAACCCTGCTGAAGGAGCCCTTTTTCAGATCATAGAACCCTGATAGAACCCTTTTCTATATCATAGATTCTTGATACGACCCTCATAGAACCCCTTTAAAGGAACCCTGTTCTGTATCATACACTCCTTATTGAACCCCTTTAAATGAGCCCTTTTCTGATTATCCCCCTATACCACCGACCGCTTACAGAACCTTTTCGAACCGCTTGAAACGAGCCCTTTTCGACTCATTCCTTGAAGCCCCGGTTGTAGCCTTGTCTGCCTTGTCTCCCCTGCAGGTCTACAACGACAAGAAAGACAAAGGTCAAGGTGGCTGAAGTAGTTCGAAGGAGTTTATTGCAAGGGCTTCGACGTCAAATTCCATGTCAGCCGAAACCCCAACCCCCCCCAAAGCTCTAAACCCCTAAACCCTAAATCCTAAACCCTAAACCCTAAACCCCAACTCCAAACCCCCCCCAAAACCCTAAACCCTGGGATGGGTTTTAGCGAAAGGCCCGGAGTGCGACTATGGCTTCAAGCTGATCATTATCGGTGATGCAGGGGCAGGTGCCTGGTCTACCTGTGATGATACTTGGAGGATCATGGGACTTAGTAAGTCAGGTTGTAAGTACCCTAATTGGAATTATATGTATAGTTGCCTCATTTATAACCCTAGTTACTAAGTCCCATGATCCTCCAAGTAGACCCTAAACCCTAAATCCCTAGATCCCCTATAGAAGCCTTTAAAAGGAGCCCCTTAAGGAACCCTTTAAGGAGCCCCCTAAGTCCCATGATCCTCCAAGTACACCCTGAACCCCGACGCCCTTCGTTCCTGAGACCCCTTGCGACGGCGAGCAATCCGAAACCCTGAGCCCTTAAAACCCGCACACTTTACGGTTTAGAGTTTAGGGTTTAGGGTTTAGGGTTTAGGGTTTAGGGTTTAGGGTTTAGGGTTTTTAGACTCTAAAGCCACTCTAAAAAGAAACCCTAAACCCTAAACCCTGAGCCCTAAACCCTAAACCCTAGAAGCCCTAAATCCAAAAGCCTTGGAGGCAAGAGCAGCTTCATGCATCAGTTCCTGGAGGGGAAGTTCCGGAAGCAGTCCACGCACACAGCCAGGGCCCGAGCCTGGTTTCACGGATATGGTATAGTAAACCATAGTACGGCATACTATGTTGTGGTGTGTTATAGTGTTATCATAGTATGCTATAGTCAGAGTGTATTATGGTCATGGGGTACGGATAGGACATTGCACTTGATTGATGTAGGATTCAGTCCGTCTTGAGTCAGTTGTCTCTGCTGCCAGTGTTTTTTCCACCAAACAGTGTGGCACACACTTTGAGGCTCTCGTGTTGCGAAAGACAAATGATCAGCTGGGAAAGACATAGGTCAGCCTGTGCGTATGGGAGTACATAGATGGGCGAAAGCATTTTGGCAGAACCCTAAACCCTACCCTAAACCCTAAACCCTAAACCCTGACTCTCGCCAGTGCATTGAGGGAAGCCTTCTGGTCGCTCCAATGGTGGAAGCCTTTGGTCGTTCTTGGAGACTCATGGGACATAGTAAGTATGGTTACAAGTACCTTCATTGGTTTTATAAGTTACCTTATCAAGTGGTGTCCTGGTGGTGTCCCGATCTATTCGTGGTCTGCTGGTGATCTCTTAGTGGTCTTCTGGATGGTTTTTGTGATGGTCTCCTGGTGGTCTCGTGGGTCTCCTGTTCCTAGGCCGTCGCTGACCCAAAGCTAGCATCAGACCAAAGGTTTATCGAGAGATGCAGCGTACAGACGGCTGTTGCCTGAGCAGATTGGCGTGGAGTTCGGCACAAAGATCATTTCCCTCGGGAACCGGCAGATCAAGCTGCAGCCTGTGCCCCAGGGTGCGTGTTTGTAGTGCAGATGCTTGCAAGTCGAGTTTGCTTCGCCAGGATTTGGGATACTGCCGGCCAGGCGTGGGCACGAAGAGAGAGAGTTGAACTATGCTCACTATGCTCTGGCCAGCGTGCGAGCTTGAGGGTTTTTGGTGTAGAGTTTAGGGTGGCTTCAGAGCCAGAACTTCGTAGAAAGTAAAAGGATTCGGTCATCTTGTAAGGGACTTGCCACCTGTCTGCGCAGACAAAAACACGTTTGTCTGTATGCTTGAGCCGTGGCACGTGTCTCCATTCCCTCTCATGGCATGTTTTCGAAACTGCCGACTGTCATGCAATTTCGTCGGGCGCTGGACCAGAAACCCCCTTATCGCGAGAAGATAGTGCATATACTCCTTTCTGCCAACATGAAATACCTGAATGTCCGAGAAGCCCAATGTTGAATTCAGCACGGTCGAGAAGTTTCCATGGATGCCAGAGATTCGATGCGACTTTTCACTGCAGTCTGGGAGAGTCCTCCAGGAAAGATACCGGGCAGTGACCCGCTCGTGCGCCGGATTCATGTTCGAAGCCTCTTCAACACTGCTGTCACTCTCGCTCGAGGTCTCCTGATGTTGCTGGCAGGTACTACCGGGGAGCCGTGGGTGCGCTGATCCTGTACGCACGTATCTCAAAAACTTGCGGCATTTTGGAAGACGAGGTGTCCCCTCCTTTCTGCTCAGGACGTCACCTCGAGGGACTCGTACAACAACCTGCCGACATGGCTACAGGAGCCGAGCCTGCAGTGCGATGTTGTGTGACAAGGGGCAGCTTGCAGATGCTGCAGTGGTACTACGACTGCGCATTCAGCCTGCTTGACCTTCAAATGCAGCTCCTGAGTTGCTGAAGAGCTTTCTCATGCAACCCGAAACCCTAAACCACTCCTAAACCCTAAACCCTAAACCCTAAACTCTAAACCGAGCCCCCGCAGGACGCCCGCGAGCAGGCGTGGAAAGACATCTCCATCATAGCAGCCACCGGGATGCAGGGGCAGTTTCACGGTTCCACGTTGGAGTCGCTGCATTCACGCGCGTGTTTCGTGCTCAGGTTTAGGGTTTAGGGTTTAGGGTTTAGGGGCCAGATGTCGGTAATAAGCCCAGCTCATGAGGTTTCCTCTTCGCTAGCTTGCTGCATGCATGGAAAGGGGGCCAATATCTAAAGCCCCCGGGCCCCAAGTTAGTAGGGACGGGGAACCAAGGTGGGAAACAAGCGGGACCTCAAGGAGGAGCGTCAGGCGCAACTCTGCCCATGTTTGGAGTCTCGAAGCCCGCCCAGAGAGCCCAAGGCTCCTCAGTTAAAGTTCAGGAATCTACCTAAATTGTCATATCAACGCTCCCCCATAGTCACAGTTTACGGATGTGTAATACTGCTTGACTCAGGGGTGTTGGGCTCTCGAGGTAAGGATTGAACTCTAGCCAGAAACCCTGAACTCTAACTCCTAAACCCTGAACCCACCATAAGCCTACCCAACTGGGAGGGAGACGCTTCATGCAAACCCAGAAAAGCTTTCAGCAAAAACGACGAACCTACCCTAAACCCTAAACCTCTGACCCTGAGCCCTAAACCCTTGAATTTTCTCGTGGGAGGTCTCCTTCCTGGAGGCGAGCCGCTTCGCGCAGGAACAGGCTGGCTCTTGAGAGATGCTATAGGGGGCCCGTTTTGAGGGGTTCCTGATGGGAGTTTTCGACAATTAGGGGTACCTTACACAGGAGTCCTTACAATAAGGATCCTACTATGCTGCCTTTTGAGAGATACTATAGGTTGAAGGATCTATACGGGTTCCTTTTAAAGGGATCTATAACGGTTCCCTAAAGGTATAGGGGCCATAATAATTACCTATACTATTTTGGTGGTTCCTTGGTATAAATTTCGTATAGTGGGCCCCAAAACCCTATTCTAATTGTTAAGACCCGTAGACTAAGGCCAGGGTGAATACAAAGGTTGCTATAAGCGCCAATATCATTAATGTTACAATTCTGGTTATTCGTATAAGTATGAGTATCCGTATTCGCCTTCGTATTCGTATTGGTATTAGTATTGGTGTTAGTATTAGTATTAGTGTTAGCATGAGTTTTTCTACTAGTATTTTTATTTGCCTTAGTCTTACCACAATTTGTGTCATTAGTAACAGTAATACCAACACAGTAACAGCACCGATGATCAAATGGGATCAAATGGGTATTGTTATTGATATTGCTGAGATAACTCTTGGTGTGATTGGCATTCTTCTTCATATTAAAGCTATCATATAGTACTATGATAAGCTCCTATAACATGATACTACAAAGGTCAAGTAGAGGGGGTGAGAGGCAACCGCAGTGGTGCTACTAGTACGTAAGAAAGAGTAAAGGAACTGGGGCTAGCAACAGTACCCGTTTGGTATTCGCACTAGGCAGAGGTCTTGCGACGAAAACTCACAGAATGGGCGGTGCATTTTCCGTGGGCTCATTGCTGTGTCGCTCCTGTTCCAAATTGGCGCACACTCCAATCCCTAAACCCTGAATCCCTAACCACTTTAACCTTATAACCCTAAACCCTGAACCCTAAACACTTTAACCTTACAACCTTAAACCCCTAAACCCTACCGAAGCCCTGAACCCCTAAGCCATGTCTGTGGCGCAGGACATCTTGTTCTTGGAGACGAGCGCCCTCACTGGGGAGAATGTGCAGGAATCTGTTTCTGTGCAAGCTTCAAGATCGCATCTGTGGCTGGCTCGATTGCCTATCTGCCTTGCATTTAGTTCCATGAAGACTGTTGACATGAAACTGCGGCAAGGACGTCTTTCACACGCTCGCACAGCGCATCCTGAACAAAGCTTCTACCTCAAGTATGTGGAGTTGCCTTGCATGTAGCTTGGTAGTTGTTGTGGCACATAAGTCAGTCCTTGACAGGTGGAGGAGGGCATCTGCGACATCTCCGAGTCGAGGCACAAACCTTCAATCCTGAACCCTAAACCCTAAACCGAAATCATCCCACCTCGGGGAGGGAGGACCTCGGTAAGTAGGTAGTACGTAGTCTTATTCGTTAGAATTGTGCAGGATCCTACTTGAGATTATGGTACCTAACTATACCCCTACAAAGCAACTACTTACTAAGTCCCCCGCTCCTCCAAGTAGACCCTAAACCCTAAACCCCTTTAGACGTGCACCAAGTATAAAAACCCCCTTACGTCCCTTTAAGGAACCCCTTCCCGGACCCCCGGGAGGATCCAAAAAGTAGATCCCTTAATGGGGATTCCTATAGAGTACCCTTAGTAGTACAGGGCCTCGAACTAGGGGATCTACTTTCTAGATGAGTAGTTGTCAAAATTAGGGTCCCTTTGTGGACGCCCTAAATATTAGGTGCCGTATCATTATATTGGGGATCCAAAAAGGGGCCAGAATTTTGAAAACCACCCAGATCCTCCCGGGGGTTTGGGTTAAGGAACCCTCAACGGAACCCCTTAAAGGAGCCTTCAATGGAACCCTAAAAACCCTTCAAGGAAGTCCCCCAAAAAAAACCCGTGAAGGAACCCCTTAAAGTAGCCCTTTACCCTAAACCCTAAACCCCCTAAACCCTAAACCCCCGAAGGAACCCCTGAAGGAGCCCTTTCAGTGGCATCTCCAGGACTGAAGCCCTAATCCCTAATCCCTAATCCCAAAACCCTAAACCCAAAACCCTAAACCCTGAACCCTAAAGCCTCTCAGTGGCATCTCCAGGACTGGCGGCCCATCCTCGGCAGACTTCAATCGCCCGCCCGACAGGAGGGCAGCGTCAGAACGAGCACTCTGTGGTGGTGGGGGGAGGGTTCAGGGTTCGATATGTATATGTATTTGTATATGTATAGTAGTAGTAGTAGTAGTAGTAGTAGTAGTAGTAGTAGTAGCAGTAGTAGCAGTAGTAGCAGTAGTAGCAGTAGTAGCAGTAGTAGCAGTAGTAGCAGAAGTAGTAGTAGTAGTAGTAGTAGTAGTAGTAGTAGTAGTAGTAGTAGTAGTAGTAGTAGTAGTAGTAGTAGTAGTAGTAGTAGTAGTAGTGTATAGTAGTAGTAGTAGTAGTAGTAGTAGTAGTAGTAGTAGTAGTAGTAGTAGTAGTAGTAGTAGTAGTAGTAGTAGTAGTAGTAGTAGTAATAGTACTGTATATTTATATATAACCTACTCATACATATATATATATATACACACACATCTATCAATCAATCAATCAATCAATCAATCAATCAATCAATCTTTTGTAGTATAATTATAGTATATTTAAACATACATTCCTGGCCTGCTTCGATGTAAGAACCCTTGTTAGGAGCGACCGGATACCCCGCGGGGCAGGGCCGGGACCCTGGCGCAGGGCTGCGGCCTTCATTCTCCTCAAAGGGGAAAAGGAGGGACGCTTTAAAGGGATCTATAGGGATTCTATAAGGGTATAGGGTTTAGGGGTTTGGGGGTTTAGGGGGTTTAGGGAGTTTAGGGGAAAAGGAGGGACCCTTAATGGGGACCCCTACCCTATAATGGGCTATATAATGGGTATATCATAGCTATAGTAAGGGTACATACCTAGGGATCCTTATTAAGGGTCCCTCCTTTTACCCTTGGATCTCTGGGGAGACATTGCCCTCCTAAGGCGCAAAGGGCATCCTTACCCAAGGTCCCGGGTATCTAGCGTAAGAATTACGTATAATTCAAACTAGGGTACTTAGCCTATACCCTTATTTACGAAGTCCCATAATCCTCGAAGTACCCAAAGTTCCTCAGTCTGTGTGAAAGGGTGCCGACTGCATGAAAGGTGCATCAAGGGCATGATGGATAGACTCACCACACACTCTACTGCGGTCGCCTCCCACCCAAACTGCTAGCAATGCCAAGCCAGGTGGATCTTTGGGAAGCTTTTTAATGGCATTTTATGGTTCCTATAGAGGTGAAGTTCATACATACTTCTAAGATCCCCAACCCTAAACCCTAACCCTAAACAAAGCTACAACCGGTCGTGGGCTGCAGGGGTTTGTACTCTGGCCCGAGGTTCTGCCGCTGCACGGTGCCGCGCTGCATGGCCGGGTGAGCTCGTAGTCGTAGGACCCGTGACCACAGCCTTTGCTTCGACCAGACCAGGAGAGCCATGATAAGAGCCACAGGGCCAGGGTTTAGAAATTTAGGGTTTATCAAAGGGGAAAAGGAGGGACCCTTAATGGGGACCCCTACCCTATAATGGGCTATATAATGGGTATATAATGGCTATATTAAGGGTGTATATATATATATATATATACCCTGGGGTCCTTATTAAGGGTACCTCCTTTTACCCTTGGATTTTAAGTTTAGAGTTTGAATTGGGGTTCGGGGTTTAGGGTTTAGGGTTTTAAGGGCCGCAGGGTGATATAAGGTGCTGAAGGTTGTGCATCGAAGGGATGATGAAGCTATTATTAAATATAGGGGCCGTAATGATTAGACAAGGGTTTTGGGGTATATTATACTGTAATTGTAATAAGGAGACCTTGAACTAGCATTTATTGGTAGTTAATTAGGCCCCTCTATTATCCTCGTTACGTAACTCTTTACCTGGCTGCAAGACGCTGCTGACGTAGCCGCAGATCCATCTCTTCCCGGAGGAGCTGCTAGGGTACACGACTCCCACCGTTCGGAATGCCTGAAAAGAACAAGTATCTGGGTCCGATAAACTCGATACCTGACCCTATCACTCGTCCTGGTTGGGAAGACGATGGTGCTTGATGTGCGGCACCGGCCGCTTTTTGTGAAGGAATCGTGCTGCCGGTTGTGAAGTACCTAAACCCTATACCCCTAGACCCTAAACCCTAGACCCTGTTTCGGAAAAGCACCAACTCGTTGTCGCTTGCAGAATCGGCAGCGGGAGGCTGCCGGACTGGCACATGCCCTCAACATATCTCGGGCAATACGGTTGATGATATAAATCCTGCTGCATTACCCATAATAAGGAATATACCATAATTCCCATAGTTTAGGGTCCGTAGGGTAATGCAGGATTTATATCATCAAGAGTATCTCGGGCAATAGCGTGTTTGTACGTGCGTTTGTCTGTCGCTGTGGGGAAAAGGCACCGCCAGACTCTGTCCTTGAGGGGCAGGTGCACAGACAGATTGTAGCTGTAGCCTTGATGATCCTGCAGCAGCTGTGAAGCATTGGAAAAGGCTAATTTGATCTTCGGCCCAAGCCACAAAAGGTTGAGGACCCAATTGCAGCAAAGTTTGCCTCAGAATGGTGCCAATGCTGCCAACACCCGTTGTGGCAATGCTGGTCTTTGCCTGGCAAGCTCAGGGTCAGTGCGATGGAACGCAGATGAACAAAGCTGCCTTTTCAAACGATGTCGTTGGCCTGGAAAGCCTCATCTCGTTAGGTCACGATCCGAACGAAATGGCACCCCCAGGGGTGGACTGCTGTGGCATGAGGCCGCTGCACTGTGCTGGAATTGACAATGCTACAGGGTCTGCCAAAGTGCTGATCGATGCAAAGGCAGATGTCAATGCCACAAGCAGGCACCCCGTTTTTGCAGCCCTGCACTCTGCCGCCTACTGGTGCTCTCCGGGGGTTGCGGAGCTCCTCTTGAAGTCTGGAGCATTCGTGGATGCTCGGAATTCAGATGCCAGGACACCTCTGCTTGAGGCAGCCAACTCCGGCTGCGCGGCCGTTGCCGCAATTCTGGTTCGATGGGGTGCAGATGTGGAAGCTGCTGATGTACCCGATGGCCGCAGGGCCATGCATTGGGCGGCAGAGGGAGGCTTCACAGAAACGATGCAAGTCTTGCTAAGAGCGGGGGCCTCACCGGACAGCCGCCTTAATGGAGACGGCTGCACGGGCTGTGTGGGTAGCACACCACTGCACAGAGCCGCACACACGGGGAAGCTAGAAGCGGTGCGGCTCTTGTTGAAACACTGCGATGTGAACTCCATGGACAGTTACTGGCAGACGCCGCTTCATTATGCATCAGCTGCAGGCCATCTCAAAACCGTCAAGTTCCTTGTTGACGCCGGGGCCAATCCCACCTTGGAGGGCTTTGATAGTCGCACGGCCAAAGAGGTTGCGATGTCTCGCGACAAGGCAGATGTGGCGAGCTATTTGTCTGCTTATGACTTGAGCCCACTGGACAGAGCCAGCCGCTCAGTGCAGAGCGTCAGAGCCTGGCTTTCCGTAGCTGCTGCACTCATCGCTTCCGGGGCAGCAGCACCATACTTTGCAAGACGGCCCAAGAAGGAATCCCCTCTGTCTGCCGGGGCCTGTGTCCTGGCCTCAATTTCTGCAGTGCCGGCGGGATGGAAGATTCCCATGCTGATGTACTGGTGGCTGGCGGTCATGGCCAACATTGCGCTGGTCGATCTCTTGATGGCGCGGGACCTAAGGACCTATTCACATTTTTCCGTATACAAACGGGGTTGACTTCTTGTCGAGAGGGCATGCGGATCTTGGCCAGGTGACCGTGCAGCCCATGTGCTGGTGCGTGATCGTGGTGCTGGTCTACGCTGGCCCTGCAGCGTGCCGGTATGGCTGGGGCATTCTGGAGGAATATGGCCTCAATATAGCTACTAACATATACCCATGATATAGCCCGTTGTAGGGTAGGGATCCCCATTAAGGTTCCCTCCTTTTGCCCTTTGAGAGGAAGTCCCGGTCACCGCCTGCATGGCAAATCTCCACCTGCTGAACATCCAACATGCGAGAGGCCTACGCCGGCTAGGAATTTTGGTGCTTGCCTCGCGGCCTTTCTTGCTCTTCGGCATCTCTCAGTGGGTGACCTGGGGAGAGTGGCAGTGGCGGCCGAATTCTTGGGATGCCCAGCATTGGAGCAACTCCGTGGCTTCTGCCTTCAACGTGTCCTTTCCTCCGGGGATGATGGCACCCTCCTTCCTCTGCAACGAGACTGGGCTCTTCGTAGGGTGCTTCATTTCTTAGGGGTACTTAGAAATATTCTTAAATTTTTGGTTATTATAATTATAATCCCGAAGAAACAGCTAAAATTACAATTTTTGCTAGGGTTCTAAGTTCAGTTACCAGTTACCACAATACAGGAAGCCTTCTATCGGTCCCCATGCTGGTAACTTAAGTCGAGAACCCAGGAAAAGGGAGCAGAAGTCCTCTATGGGATCTGGCCGCTGGTTCCGGGGGTGCCTCAAGTCGTCGAGGCCCAGCTGTCGGCTCCTTACCACGCCTACGTCGATGCCCTGGCGCATTCCTACTCCTCAGACAGCCAGGACTGTCTGGTACCTAGTAAAGGGAACTCCAGAAAGTTGGAATATGGATTAATGGTAGGATCCCCTATAATTTACCTTAAAGGGGTTACGATACTGATATTCCAACTTTCTGGCTTCTACTGTAGGGAATGGGGGAATGGATTAGGATTAGGGGGGATCTATGATAGGGGATTAAATAGGGACTACTATATAGGGATCCATTCTCCCATTCCCTACTAAGCACCAGACAGAGGAGTTGCTGGCTCAGATTGGGCATCGGGAAGCAGTGCGCATGATTCTGAAAGACGGGATCCTCGAGCCAACCTTGCAGAAGCCCCTCAGTCGGACAGCGGCCATGAACCTTAGGGGTACTTAGAAATATTTTTTAACTTTTGGTTATTATAATCCCTAAGAAACACCTAAAATCATAATTTTTGCTAGGGGTCTAAGTTCAGTACAGGAACGTCTTGGTGTTCACCATCCTGCTGGCAAGTGTTGCCTGGGGCATCCTGCTACTTCTGCTACTTCTGGCATGCCGGGGACGGGTGCTCCACAGCAAGGGGCCATCCAAGGTGGCTGCGCTGGCAGCAGAGATAGAGGCAGTGATTCATTCAGCAGGCACCATCGAAGAGAGGCGAGAGCGGTTGAAGAGCCTGCGAATCTGGGTTCTCGTTCAAGTATCCAAGTTTCCGTACATAAGGAAAAGGCTATGTACCATACATTCCTATGTTGGAGTTCCTTAATGCCTCCCTCAACCCCGAAAAGCCCTCAACCCCAAACCTTATAAACCCGAAGCCCTATAAACCCTAAACTTCCGGAGTTCCAAAATGGTGCCCAAGCAAAAGCTAACCTCCTCTGTAAGTCGGCTTGGAAAATCGTGAATTTCCTTTACTGTTTAATGTATAGAGCCGTAGTTATAAACAATTCTGGCAGACTGCTGAATTCGACGCCGGGAACAAATACCAACACTATTCTAGGGTTCCTTCTTATAAACATAGAGCAATATACTCCAAAACCTTATTACACTTGGGAAGGTCCCTACTCTATGGCACCCTATTATAAATTTTCGATTTATTTTGAGGAAGAATCCTCTTCCAATTATTTAGGCCTCTGTATTATCCAACCCTACTGTAGACCCCTTATTGAGCTCTTTTGACGGTACCCTTTAAAAGGAACCCTAGCCTACTTCTGAAGGCCCCTAAACCCTAAACCCTAAACCCTAAGCCACAGGAATGGAGGGAGCTTCCTTCGTCGCGCCCTTCCTTCGCTTCTCGAGCGTTTATGTGAAACTCGGTGAGGTGCTTTGGGAAGCTTTGAAGAGATACCTTGATGGTCCCAAAGGGTCTCAAGTACTGTTATGGGGGATACGTCCCCAAATCATCACTGTAATTCCTCATATATAAAATCCTTACACTCTACTATAAAGATACTTTGGACCTTTTGGGGTATAGGGTTTAGGGAAGCTTCAATGTTTCTGTTATGGTTCCCATAGAGGTACCTATTCAGAATGACTTTCAAAAGGTGGGCCTGTGGGACAATTTAAATTTCCCCCTTATTGGGCCTAAGAGGATGCTTCTAAAGGGGCCAACCTAGGAAAGCATTTATGATCTTCTTGGCCGCCGGCCTCAACATGTACCAATGGGCGGTACTCATGGGAAATGAGGACCACAGGGTTTAGGGCGGTTTAGGGTGTTGGATTTCAGGGTTCGGGGTTTCAAGGGGTTTCTGGTAAAGCCTTAACCCTAAATCGTGGAAATGAGGACTACAGCTTCGCGGCTGTGGTTCTCTTCTTTGAGATCTTGCTCCTTCACATGATCTTCACAGGCGCAACGATAAAAGAACATCCTAAACCCTAAAGCCCCTCAAACCACCGAACCCTCAAGCCCTACAGCCCTAAACCCTAGCTAAAACCCTCAAACCCCAAAGCCCTCGAATCCTAAAGACCTGAACCCTAAAACCCCTCAAACCGAGACCCCTCGAACCCTCAACCCCCAAACCTTCAAACCCTACAGCCCTAAACCCTCAAACTCTAAACCCTAAAACCCTCAAACCCAAAACGCTCGAATCCTAAAGCCCTAAACCCGAAGACCCTCAATCACCGAAGCCCTAATCCCTAAGAACCTCAAATCCCTAAACCCCCAAAACCACCAAAATTCTAAACCCTAAATAGTACCCTTATAAATCCCTTTAAAGATCCCTTTAAAGATCCCTTAAAGGATCCCTTAAAGGATCCCTTAAAGGATCCCTTAAAGGATCCCTAAAGGAACCCTAAAAACCCTAAGCTTTCAAGGCGCCTCGGGCCCAGTAAACCCGATGCGGGAGATCCATCGCTCGGCGGAGTTGGGAGTGCCAACTGCCTGGTTTTGCCATCTCATGGACCACAAGAGACTGGGCTTTGGGGTTTAGGGGTCTCCAAAGGGTAACTATAAGGGACGATCGTAGGGTCTAGGGTTTAGGGTTCAGGGTTTAGGGTGGCTTTAAGGGTTCTCACGGATCACATGAGACTGGGCTTGGGGTTTAGGGTTTAGTAAGGGTTCTCATGGATCACAAGATAAGGGACGATCATAGGGTTTAGGGTTTAGGGTGGCTTTAAGGGTTCTCATGGACTGCCAGAGACCGGGCTTCGGTTTAGGGTTTCGGGTTAGGGTTTAGGGTTTAAGATTCTGGTTTTAGGGTTTAGAGTGGCATTAAGGGTTCTCATGGATCACAAGAGACTGGGCTTGGGGTTTAGGGGTTTGGGGTTTAGTGCTTAGGGTTTGCTATAGGAGTCGAGTTTATTTCATGGGCCACAAGAGGCTGGGCGGTGTAGAGATTTCTAGAAGGGTTACTCTAAAGGGTAACTATAAGGGACGATCGTAGGGTCTAGGGTTTAGGGTTCAGGGTTTAGGGTGGCTTTAAGGGATCTCATGGACCACAAGAGATTGGGCTCGTGCTAGTGGTTCTTGTTAAGGTTTAGGGTATGGGGTTTAAGGAATTAAACTACCAGACCATGCTACACTAATTTTCAATAGATCTGTAGTGAAGCTCATGAACAAGAACCCAGGAGAGGCATCACAGATGTGGCGTTGTTTTTGCTGAATATCTACAAGGTCCCATTCTCCTCTCACAGTGGCAAGACTGCATGGCCTGGAGTTGCAAGTATCTTCATGAGCAGCTACTTCATAGCGGGCTACCTGCTGGAGAAGTTGGATTGCTGCACCGTCGATGCTGAAGTTGACTGGAGTGACACAAGTGAGAGCAGTAGTGGCGACTCCTCCAGCGAGGATGTTGCCTGGCTGAAGAAGGAATCTCGATTGCTTGCTTCCGATTGATCTGTACAATAACCAGCAGCGCGAAGAATGCTGCGTCTCACAAGGGCTAGCTGAAGCTGTTCTGTCAACTTCGCCTTTTTCTCAGCACTCCTAGCTCACGGAAGATTGAACTGACAAGCAAAAGGAGTGATGGTAGGTGGAGGCCCTACATTGCAGACTAGATTGGCTGGCATGCGTTGATATAGTTTCTTGGAAAGCACGGGAGCTTCAAGAAAGCTGTAGCGACACTGTGGCGACGAACCCTTAGGAACGAAGCAGAGGCCTGCACAAGACAAGGCAGCAACAACCAGCAGTACAGCTGCACGCGCTTCCTCGGATGTTACAGCGGGCACATCAGAACACGTGGCGGTGAATGCACTTCGAACGCCTGTCTTGGCTTAAGCGTTAGTTTCGATTGCAGAGATAATCGAATGTTGTTTTGAGGGGTTGAAAGTTTGTACGGCTCCGTAGGCAAAGATAGGCTTTAAGACTGCATTGCATGTACACCTACTACAAAGTCGCCATTGTCTGTCCGCACTCTGTGCTCTGTTTCTTGTCGTGCAGCTGTGATGCGGATCCTCCTAGCACAATCTCAGCGCTAACATGTACTTTGCTTGTTAGAGTCCGAAGCCCTGTCACAGTTGGTATTCGGATGATGGCTGCGCAAAGCAGGCTTCGTGAAGTTCAAAGCTGCTTCCCAGAGACTCCAATACCCTTCAATAAGGAATAATTATGCGAATATGCCTTAAATGATAGTGGGATCCCGAGTATGATTTAAGGTATGTTCCTTACTTAAGGGGTTTTGCAGTCTTTGGGTTTTGGCAGGGTGTGGTTTTGGGGTCGCCCACTATACTCTTAAAGAAACAGCCTTTTTCCGGGGTGTCCCTTCCTTGTTGGGCTTGTCATACTATAATCATCTAGGGAACCCGAAGGAACACGATTCTAAGCTCTAAGCCCTGAACCTGACGTCAAGAGTGGATGCCAGAGTGGTATCTACAGCTCACCCAAATGGGCTTTTGGGAAGCGTTCCGTGGACCGAAAAGGAGCCCTTTAAAATGAAAAAGACCCTTGCCCCAAAACCCTAAACCCTGAGGAAATACGTTTCTAAACCCTATACTCTAAACCCTAAAGAAAACAGTTCTGAACCCTAAACCCGCCCGCCACCCCTCTCAACTCTGTTGGGGTAGTCGGGCGCAGTCGAGCGCTCAGCGAGACCAAGCAAGACCGGCCCGTAGGCTGTACGGTTTCGGGCTTTGGGCTGGCGCTTAGGGTTTGGGGTTCAGGGCTCCGGGCTGGTTCTTAGGGTTTAGGGTTTAGTACTCTGTGCAGGCCCTCAGGGCTTTGGGCTTTTAGGGCTTTGGGCTCGTTTTTGCAACCACGTTCCCCGTTATCTAACGCTGGCTGAAATGGTTTTCGGACAAGCTTGACTCGGGGACCGTGACCTGCAAAGCTGGATTTCGTACAGCCATTTGTCAAGCGACTGGACAAGCTATCTCTTTTTCCAACTCCCGGTGATGCTCCGTTATCTAACGCAGAGAGCTGGATTCAACAAGTTTTCGGCTTAACTACGGCCCGTTTTGTAAGGCAGGTCGCTGAATTTAAAATGAGTTTTCGGTTCAACCCTGCTTGGCTGCACAACGTTCAGATCAACAAGTTTTCGGTGGACCTCTGTTGCACAAATCCAGCGTTGATGAGAGTTCGGTTCACCCGTTTCTCTGTGATTGTGCGCCTGGCGTTCTGTAATGGTTTCAGAACGCTGATGGTACTATGTAGGATTATGTAGGACACATGACGAAGAATGGCAACCATAATTTGTTGTATGTCCGCTGTTGGGGGATTCTTGGGGCGGGTAGGTATTTTTCTGGAGTTGTCATAGCCTAGCTAGTCGGAGCTGCTGACCCCTAACTTCCTAAACCCTAAAAGATATTATTCTGAACCCTAAACCCCAAATCCCCTCAGGAGTACTACTCTACCAAGCCCTAAACTTTAAACAAATACGGTTTTAAACCCTACTTGGAGGGTCGAGGGACTTAGGTAAGTGGTTATGTTAAGGAGTTATAAGTACCATAACCCCAATGAGGCTCCCTTTTAGGGTACTTAGAAGTCTACTTACTACCTACTTACTAAGTCCCCCGACCCTCCAAGTACACGTTAAACAAATACGGTTTTAAACCCTAAACGTAGGCGCTGCCAAGTTTTTGTCCTTCAAACTGACGCAGGTGTCGCTGAGGCTCGGTGGGGCTCCTGGAGGTCTGCTGCTTGACTTATAGTATAGTGAAGTCTATTGAAGTATTTTAAATTGTATTAAAGTATATGAGAGTATATAATGGTTTATAAAAGATTAATAGTAATTATATTATAGGATATTATAGTATATTATGGTATATTATAGTATATTTCAGTTTGTTATAGTACATCGTAGTATATCATATTAAAATTATACTATATTTTTGTGTATGATGGTATACTATAGTATATTATAGTATATTAAAGTAGGTTATGGTATACCTAGTGTATACAATAGTGCAATATACTTTAATTTCTTCAGTATAATATAGTGCGTTTTAGTCTATTATAGTTCAGTGTTGTACATCATAGAAGGTTGCAGTTTAGTAGTAGAGTTAACTGCATTAGAATATGCTATATTAACAGTATATTGTATCATGTTAGTGCAATATCGTATGTTGTAGTCTGTTGTAGTTCATTAGTGTTTATTGTGGTCTGTTTGCCTTCGCATCTTACTTCACATCCGAGCATCTTATACTCTAGTATACTGTACTAGTGTTATAGTAAGTTGCAATGCCCAAGTTGTTCTAAAACTCTAGGTGGTGCTGACTTGGCCTGTTGGGCATGCATGTTTTCACGGCACGCTGGACCAGCTTCCTTTACCACACCCGCGAAGGATGTCGGCAGAGGCAGCTGACGTGCAGGAGGCCAGGACAGATCCTTCCATTGAAGCTACTGTGGCCCACAGAGCCCACTGCCGGTAAACCCCAAGCCTTCAATTCAGGAATGCAATCACGACACGAGGCCACCCATGTGCATGTTCTATAATCAGGGGGCCCTTCTGGGCTTTCCGGGAGCCCTAAACCCTAAATCTCAAACCCAAAGCCCTTTACCCTAAAGCTGAAAGCTTAAATCCTAAACCCGAAATCCTAAACTCCGAAATGTACCTTAAATCCTAAACCTTACACCCTAAAGTCCGAAATTGACCCCGGGATAGTTCTTTTTTCAGCAGTTCCCAGGATAGTCCCTTGTAGTCGTCCCCATGATCGTCCCAGATAGAGTAGTCCCCATGTTAGTCGTTGATAGTAGCCCCCATGATAGTCTCTTATAGTTGTCCTCATTCTTGTCCCTTATAAAGTAGTCCCCATAATAGTCGCTGTTAGTAGTCCCGTGATAGTCCGGTACAGTAGTCATCATGATAGTTCCCTATAGTGGTCCCTATAACCCTAAACCCTCAACCGCCCATGATAGTCCATTATGGTGGTCCCCCTCAAACCCGAACCCCTAAACCCGAAACCCTAAAAACCTTAAACCCTAAACACCCTGAGTCCGTATAACTCCCAAGAAGCTAAGCACCAGCGCTCCAGGCCGAGTCGGTGAAAGGCGGCCGCCTCAGGACGGAACCCGAGAGACTCCTCAGCGGCAAAACGGGTTTAGGGTTGCGAAGGTTAAGGTTTATTAGGACCCCTCTACTGGCCTGGCACAAGTCCTCGGTCCAAAACCCGAAAGTCCTAACCCTTAAACCCTAACCCCTACTTGGAGAGTCGGGGGACTTAGCAAGTAGTTCCTTTATACAGATACAAACCATAACTCCAAGTCGGATCGTACTTTTGGCACCTGCAACTCTGCTTACTACCTACGGTTGATGATAAAAATCCTTCATTACCCATAATAAGGAATACACCATAATTCCCATAGTTTAGGGTCCTTAAGGTAATGCAGGATTTATATCATCAACAGTATTTACCGAGTCCTCGGACCCTCCAAGTTAGAGACTCTCTAAACCCTAAACGCCTGTACAACCCGTAGGCCCTAAAGACCCTAACCCTTAAAACCCTAGGTGGGTGGTTGTCAAAATTATGGTCCCTCTTCGGGTCCCGATTATAGTACGGCACCTATTATTTAGGGTAACCAAGAAGGGGACCACAATTTTGACAACCACCCAGGTCCTGAATCCCTAGCCCTGCCATCTCCGAGGCATCGTGGACGAACAGGTTGACCTGCGGAGCCGCGTGGAGCAGCTCGAGCAGGAGAAGGCGCGCAAGAAGGGTGCTTTCACTTTGAGGTTCATTTTTCAAGCAGCAATAGTGGCAATGCTATATTAGCTATACTAGTGACTAGTGCTACCACAATTAGCCGTAACCCTTTACAGAAACTCTTGAGGGAGTGCAGCCCTTAGTAGTACTTGGAGGATCATGCGACTTAGAAACTGGGGTTATAAATAAGGCGACTATACTTATGGCTCCAGTTACTGTACTTGTAACTCATTTACTAAGTCTCCAAGTAGACCCTGAACTCTAAACCCCTATACATCCCTTGTAGATCCCTTTAAGGAACCCCTTAAGGAACCCTTTACAATCCCTATAGATCCCTTGTAGAACCCTTTAATAAGTAGCAGTAGTAGTAGTAGTAGTAGTAGTTGTAGTTGTAGTAGTTGTTGTAGTAGTAGCCCTTTAAAGGAGCCCCTTGAGGAACCCCTTAGTAGTAGCCCTTTACCCTTCACCCTAAACCCCTAAACCCCCTAAACCCCCTAAACCCCCTAAACCCCCTTTAGGCTAAACCCCTAAACCCCTATACCCCTTATAGAACCCTTATAGATCCCTTTAAAGGAACCCTTATCGATCCCCTTAAAGGAGCCTAAAACCCCCCTTTAAAGCCCTGGGAGCTCCGAGGCTGAGCTCCGGGAGCGCCTCGACTTCGTGGAGGAATTGCTCGGCCCCTCGTCGGTTTAGGAAATTCTTAGGGGGGACTATAAGGGGTTTAGGGGTTTTAGGGTTTAGGGTTTAGGGTTTAGGGGTTTAGGGGTTTTAGGGGTTTAGGGGTTTAGGGGTTTAGGGGTTTAGGGTTTAGGGTTTAGGGGTTTAGGGGTTTAGGGGTTTAGGGGTTTAGGGTTTAGGGTTTAGGGTTTAGGGTTTAGGGTTTAGGGGTTTAGGGGTTTAGCGTTTAGGGTTTAGGGTTTAGGGTTTAGGGTTTAGGGTTTAGGGTTTAGGGGTTTAGGGTTTAGGGTTTGGGATTTCTACAAGGGTTGCTATAAAGGGTGGGACTATCATAGGGTTTAGGGCTTCCTAGAAAGAACGATAAGGGGTACACTTTAGGGATTTCTATAAGGGTTGCTGTAAAGGGTTACCATAAGGGACTATCGTAAGGTTTAGGGCTTCCTAGGGGGGACCATAAGGGGTACACTTTAGGGATTTCTATGAGGGTTGCTATAAAGGGTTACCATAAGGGACTATCGTAGGGTTTAGGGCTTCCTAGGGGGGACTATAAGGGGTACACTTTTGGGATTTCTATGAGGGTTACATAACCCTAAACCGTAAGACATCGCGCTCGTCAGCATCTCAGGGGTTACAGTATAACCATGATAGTAGGATCCTTATGATAAGGACCCCCAAATACTTGGAGGATAATGGGACTTAGTAAATGAGATTGTAAGTACACTAATTGGAGTTACAAGTATGGGAGTTTCCGGAAATAGGGGACCCTAATATAGTACCCTAAATAGTGAGATCCTTATTATAAGGACCCCCAAAATAAGGTACCCCATTTTTCGGAAACTCCCGTATAGTTACCTTATTTATAGCCCCAGTTACTCAGTCTCAGGATCTTCCAATTTGGGGGGTCCCTTGAGGGATTTCTATGAGGTTTACTAAAAAGGGCTACTATAAGGGACTATCATAGGGTATACGGGTTATTAGGGAGTTTTCGACGTTCACGGCGTAGGGTTTAGTGTTTAGAGGTTTAGGGCTTTAGGGTTTAGTGTTTAGGGCTTTATTGCCTTAGGGTTTAGTTTAGTATCATGGGCAGCTAGAAGGGTTGCGAGAACCAGCAGGGCCTATGGTTTAGCGTTTTGGGTATTTGATGCGGAGCAGAATCTTTTCTTCCGGCATTGTTCGGGTTGTTAGCTGTCGAAGGGTTGTCAGGGCTGTAGGTTTAAGGCCCTGAGCAACACAAGCGTGAAGCCTAACACGTCATAGCAATCCGTAGCACAACCCCAAACTTAGCCAAAACCCCTACTAAACCCTAAACGCCTAAACCCTAAATCTTCAACCCCGAAACCCCTAAACCCCTAAACCTTGAAGCCTAAACCCTCAACAAGAACCCTTATAGATCCCTAAACGGAATCCCAAGAACCCGAAAACTGATAAGTTCCTTCTAGCGGAGTCCAGGTCCCACGGAGAGCCAGCGGAGATCTTTGCAGGACCTGCGTTGGTGGGACCCAGAGAGCCCCATTCGGGGTTCAGGGTTCAGGGTTCACGGTTTGGGGTCTCGGGGGGATCAGGGTTCAGGGTTTGGGGTTGATGAGGGTTGAGGTTTTGAGGGTTTAGGGTTTAGGGGTCTTTGTCAACGGCTCTATGGGGTTCCATTTATTTGTCTATGTATCTATCTGTCTATCTCTCTATCCCTCTCTATCTATCTATCTATCCATCCCTCTATCTCCCCATATATATATATATATGTATGCAGATAGACATGCACGCCCACATCCACAACACAAACACATACCCACACATACACATACATACGTACATACATGCATACATACATCCGAGAATGCATTCATACGTCCATGCATGCATGCATACATCCATACATCCATGCACCCTTGCATCCATGCATCCCATGCATGCATGCATGCATGCACACATATGTGCATACGTACATACATACATAGGTACATACATACAAGGGCTTGTGGTATACAGACTAACCCTGAGTTTTAGCTTATTATCACTGTTGTTGTTGTTGTGGTTACTATCGTTTTACTACTACTACTACTACTACTACTACTACTACTACTACTACTACTACTACTACTACTACTACTACTACTACTACTACTACTACTACTACTACTACTACTACTACTACTTACTACTACTACTACTACTACTACTACTACTACTACTACTACTACTACTACTACTACTACTAACGACTACTACTACTACTACTACTACTACTACTACTACTACTACTACTACTACTACTACTACTACTACTACTACTACTACTACTACTACTACTACTACTACTACTACTACTACTACTACTACTACTACTACTACTACTACTACTACTACTACTACTACTACTACTACTACTACTACTACACTACTACACTACCTACTACCACTACCACTACTACCACTACCACTACCACTACCACTACCACTACCACTACCACTACCACTACCACTACCACTACCACTACTACTACCACTAACTACTACCACTACCACTACCACTACCACTACCACTACCACTACTACCACTACCACTACCACTACCACTACCACTACTACCACTACCACTACTACTACCACTTACCACTACCACTACTACCACTACTACTACCACTACCACTACCACTGCCACTGCCACTGCCACTACCACTACCACAACCACTACCACAACCACTACCACCACCACTACCACCACTACCACTACTACTACTACTACTACTACTACTACTACTACTACTACTACTACTACTACTACTACTACTACTACTACTACTACTACTACTACTACTACTACTACTACTACTACTACTACTAGACTACTACTACTACTACTACTACTACTACTACTGCTACTACTACTCTGGCTTACTCGGTTTCATGGTTTAGGGTGTGTGGGCTGTGGGATTCAAGCTTTATTTCAGGGGTTTAGGTCTAGTGTTTAGGGATGAGCAGGCCCACTAGTGTTTAGGGGTGAGGTATGTGGGATTATGTGAACTTGGGGTTTAGGGGTTTCGCAGGTTTTAGGGGTTTTGGGCTTAGGGTTTGAAAGTTTGGAGGTTGCTAGTCTCGGGATGATTACATTTTAGGACTGAGGTTGCAAGCAGCCACAATTCCTGAATGTCTCGTTTGTGCATGTGCAGCTGCGGGAGGAGAAGGCACTTGCAGCAAGGTCTGCTGCTCTACAGGCACCCTTGTTGCTATTCGCAGGCTTGACGCTGAAACTGCGGTTGATGATATAAAGCCTGCATTACACAGAATAAGGAATCTACTATAATTCCCATAGTTTAGGGTCCTTAAGGTAATGCAGGATTTATATCATCAGCCGTAGTCCTAAAATCTAATATGAGTCCCCTTATTATTTTAGGTATATTCCTTAATTAAGGGGTATTGAGCTCTCTGGGAGACGGTGGGCAGAGCTTGAAGACATCTGCCCGTACGCGTTGCAGCTTCTTCGTAGCGAGAGTCAAGGCTGGCCACCACCAAGTCAACACATGTGGGAGCTTGCCCTAAGATAGTACCCTAGCCCTAAATAGTAGGATCCTTATTATAAAGACCCCGAATAAGGTACCCCTAATTTTCGGAAACTCCCATGTTGCTCCGTACCGCAACACACTGAGACCCCAGCATGCTAGCTGTTAGCCACTCTCAAAGACTCAGAGATTCTACAGGGAACTCCAGAAAGTTGGAATATGGTTTCATGGTAGGATACCCTATAATTTACTATAGATGGGTTAGGATAATCATATTCCAACTTTCTGGCTTTTACCTGACTGCATTTTCAGACCATCTCTTGAGCTTGCCATGGCGCCGGTGTACATCGCTGGCAAGACTGTCATTCAAGTCTACGACTTCGATGCTACGAGACTCATCCTGCGTTTTGCTATTGTTACCACTTCCTGGCACAGAGGCCAAAATATACCCTTAACTATTCAGGCCCCTATACTAAACCCCCATAATGCCCCTTATAGCAACCCTTATAGGATCCTTTCTAAGGAGCCCTTCAAAGCACACCCTACTGTAACTGTTACCGCCACCCTTTTGTAACTGTTACGGCCCCTTTTTTTGTGCAGTTTTTTCTGAGCTTCAGTCCGAGATGAACCCAGCGCAACTTGCTGTTGCGCCAACTGGGAGCTTTCGAAAATTAGGGGTACCTTATTTTGGGGGTCCTTGTAATAAGGATCCTATTACTTCGGGTACTACATTAGGGTCCACTACTTTCGGAAACTCCCAGCTGGAGCCTTGCTGTTCTCTAGAAGGCGGCATCTGCCCGCTTTCTTATAGGATCCCTTTGTATAGGGACTCTCATTTGGGACGCTCCCACCTACCTTCATCCTACCTTTTTAGGCCCCAGATCTAGAAGGCGGCACATAGGAGCCCTAAACCCAAAATCCTAAACCCTGAATCCTAAACCCTGAACCCTAAACCGTCTTTCTGCAGCTGATTTGGCTCTCTGTGTTTTCAACGACAAAGGGCGCCTTGCTCTGTCGACTCCGCGTGTCAGCAATGGCCTGCTTTGAGGGATGCTTCGGCTGGACCCGCCATGGTTGCTTGGCGGAGACTTCGGGTCCAGGGTGACAGAATTGGAAGTTTCCGAAAATTGGGGGTACCTTGTTTTTTGGGTCCCTTTTTCAAGATCCTACTATTTAGCGTACTATATTAGCGTCCCGTATAGGTGGTCCAGGGTGCTATAGGGGCCTAAATGGTTACCTTTACTATTCTGGGGGGTTCCCTATTCCAAGTATAGTATAATGGGCTCCTTAACCTTATTCTAACTACTAAGGTGCCTCTATTGACGGGATTCAAGATCGGGGTTGAGTTGGCACTTAGTTTCTTGCGAGGATTGGTCAAGACCAATCTCACCTCTTTCGTGACCATGACCATCATGAGTGTTCAGGTGGACCCGGTGTGCCAGAAGTTCCCAATGCAGGCGAACTGCGAGCCATGCCGCACATGCTCGAAGAGCATGAGGAGTTTGGTATTTTGCGGGCTCAACACTGGCAGCGGAGTAGTCGCCATGCATGGAGGTATATATGTCTGCGCATGCATGCACAGATGGATGATGCATGCCTGCATGCTTCCCTTCCATGCATGCATGTTCACACATACGCACATACATACATGCACTCATGAGCGGCAGGCATATCGTTTATGCAAGCAGCAAGCCCGCCAAGTATATGGACTCGGCAAACCTGCGTGTGCACATAGAAACGCAAGCAGATAGATTCATCAGATAGGTAGTGATGATCGATAGGTAGATAATGGTAGATACTTGGAATGACCGATACAAAGAAATGTTTGTATCTACTTGCATGCGTCTACATACGCGTACACGCCTACACTTTCGCACAGTTTTCCCAGAGAAAACTGTCAGATCCTAAACCCTAATTTAGGAATATACCTTTTAAGGGCTCCTTAAAGGGATCTATAAGGGTTCTATAAAGGGGGTTGGGGAATATACCTTGATTCATAATAGGGTCCCCGAATATAATTTAAGGTATATTCCGTATTTAAGGGGTGTTGGAGTCTCTGGGAGGCTCATCGCATTCAAAGAGGGTTTCCCTCCTCCACCCGGAGGATCATGGGACTGAGTAACTAGGCTTATAAATAAGGTAACTATACTTATCACTCCAATTAGGATACTTATAACCTTACTTACTAAGTCCCATGATCCTCCAAGCACCTGTCTTCGACAGGCCAGCCTCTCCCGCAGCTCCTCACACGTGCCCCGGAGGTGCGTTTTTTCAGTTTCAGTAAGCGAAGTTAGCTTAGGATTTAGGATTTAGGGTTTATAGGGTTTAGGGGTTTGGGGTGTAGGTTTAGGGCTTAGAGTTTATAGGGTTGAGGAGTTTAGGGTTTAGGATAACTTTCTATTGCGGAGTGGACCATGTCGGCCACAACATTCTGGTTGCATGGTCGGAGAGCTCGCCTCTTCTGTTCCACACAGACATGTCAGATCAACAGCCCCAAAGGTGCAGCAAAAAAGCTACTGTAGGGGCCTTAAGAATTACCAATACTATTTTAGGTGTTTCTTATTGTAATTATAGTATATTGGGCTCCAGAACCCTATTCTAATTATTATGGCCCCTCTACAAGTAGTGCCACTACCTGCCGAGGGCTCCCTCAGCACTGAAACTTGCAAGTCCGAACCGTAGAACCCCTGAACCACCGAAACCCCCGAAACCCCCTAGACCAGGAAACCCTAAATCCTAAACCCCCCAAAGCCACCCAAAACCCTAAATCCTAAACCACCAAAACCCCCAAAACCCATCAACAACCCTAAATCCTAAACCCCCAAAACCCACTTCAAACCGAGTTCGCAGGCTCCTCGCCCTCGCAACGAGCGCAAGATCTCGAAAGGCCAGGCGCTTTTTTTCCTGTGTCAACTGCACCCTGGGGTTACTATCTAAGGGGTACCACTAAGTGTTCCTTTAGGGGTTACTATAAGGGTCCTTGTCGGGAGTTCAATAAGGGTTACCATCAAGGGTTACTACTACCATAAGGGTTACTATATCGCAAGGGTTTAGGGGTTAGGGTAGGGTTGCTGTAAGGGTTACGACAGGGCTACTAAAGTGGTTGCCATAATCTATAAGGCCTAAGGGCCCGATAAGGGTTACGATAATACAAGGTTTGCTGTGAGGCTTAAGGATTACACCGTGAAGTGCCCGGATGTTGTACATTTTACTGTATCACATTGGCACAGTCGCTTACTATGCCATGCTATCTTATACGATGTTATACTAGCTTGTACTATATGCTATTTCAAGTTGTCTTTTCTACCGTATACCATCGCATAGCAACGTTTTATAACACAACTGCTGTACTTCAGCTTTCATGCACAGGTGCCAACAGCAACAACCAAGTAGCATGCAGTCAACGTGGGTTGAATACTCAGATGACCAGCTAGCCGATTCCATTTCGCTGTTTTTTTTATCAAGCTGGCCAGGATCCAACACCAGCAGCGACTCGCGTGTGCACTACTCTTTGACTGGCTCCTGGGTCGCTCAAGAGCCCATGTTCCACTTGGTTCTAATGTTTGCATAGTTTAAGCGGTTGCCTCCCCAGCACAGTGCTGCGATTCAACCGAGAAGGAGTGCAAGTTCTTGTAGAAACTTCTACACAGCCGGCTGCATTCCTCTGCCACGGGCCTAAGCAAACGTTCAGTGATGCAAGTCGTGTCTGTAGCAGACCTGTCGAAGCTATCAGGATGGATCCCAAACCCTAAGCCATATACACGCTAAACCGTAAAGTTTGAACCCTAAACCCTTTTCCAATCCGGCTCCGACTTAAGGCATGCAGCTTCCGGATTCGCCCATCCGAGCCAAGAAGAAGGTCACATACTCCATCACCGGCATGCCTTTGCCGCGTGGCAGCGAGGGGGATGTGGTAATTTCAGTCTCGGGAGCTTGCCTCTTTTCTTCGGGGTTTGCTTTTTCAGAACGGGTTGGGTTTAGGGTTTAGGGTTTGCCCGGTCCGATAAGCCAAGCGTCCGGGAAGCAAGCCAAGCCACCTCCGTCCTAAACCATAGTCACGCACGGTTCCTCTTCTCCCTAAACCCTAACCCCTATATAAACCCTAAACCCTGAACCAGAATCACGCACGGTTCCTCTTCTCTCTTTCCTGATGCCCCAAAGAAAGGCATGGGAATTGACCAGCTAGGAGCCGCTGCACCCTAAGCTCCGCATCCTGACTGAAACCCTGGAAAACTCTACCACCTCAGGCCGCCAAACTTGGAAGGCCTAAGTCAGTACTTGGAGGATCATGCGACTTAGTAACTATAGGGTTATATTAATAAGGTAACTATACTTATAGCTCCAATTAGTGTACTTGTAACCTCATTTATTAAGTCCCATGATAAAACCCTTTTTGCAGACCGCTCTAAGGTACGAGCCGGATGAGCCGAACATTGCCAACAATCAGAAGGTTGCTGGAAGGTCGAACGGGTAGTACTACTCGTGCTTGTACTGCTGCTGCCTTTACTCCGACCGCGACTCCGAGTCCCGCTCTTACTCCGACTCCTGCTCCGACGACGACTGCTGCCTCCTACTTGGAGGATCATGGGACTTAGTAACTAGGGTTATAAATCAGGTAACTATACTTATAACTCCAATTAGGGTACTTATAACCTTACTTAGTTAGTCCCATGATCCTCCAAGTAATGCTACCGCCGCTTTCGCTCGTCCGGCTG